ACTCTAAAATAATATCCCGGAGTCTGGATGGCCGCACTGGTCCTTAAGTATTGCAGTTGATTAAAGATGAGCAGCAGGTGAACAGATTAGGAGAGAAGGATGCTCTGCCCAGGTAAGGCAGGGATGACGACTGCCTTTTACCCACAGATCAAGGCTTCCTATAACACTTTCCCTGGTTTAAGAGCACCAACATTTATTTACAATAATTAAGCCTAGCAATTACATGAAAATTATAATAGTACTGTGTGCATATACATATATACTCACACCCACTTACACACTCAGGTGCATCTCTACTCAAACATTTCAAACAGTTTGGTAAACTGGAACATATTAAACTAAACTCTTTCAGGGAAAACATTAAAGCTGTTCATCATCTAGGCTTTTTCTGTCAAGTGCCATTTGTAGTTCAAGTAAATAAAAAGTAATTTGGTTTGTGTTCACCCATTGATGTTAGCCTGCTGTTGGAACTCCAGCAGTCGTCCTCGTGCAAGTTGCCCCAATCCTGTTATTTCTGCCTGCTTCCCAATTCATGGTTCTGGTGTTCTTCTGCAGCTTCTTGATGAGGGCTTGATGAGCACTTAAAGTACTTTCTACAACTACTAAGACTTTTCACCCAATGTTTTTTTTTATGCTGTGGCAGGCAAGATGTAGGACCCAAATGCAGGACTTGAAACACAAGATGGGTGAACTGAGAGAGGCAGCTTGTGGCAACAACTCAGACATCACAAACATGGAAAAACAAAACCTAAACTGGAAACTAGGAAGCTAGGGACACAGAATTAATAAACTAGAAAATGGGAAAAAAGAAGCTAGGAGTTAGAAGGAGACTTGAGGAGAACAGAGATAACACACAGGACATAGAGGTAGTTAACGACACGACAACGGACAAAGGAAAACACAGGGCTTAAATACACAAGGGAGCAATGGAGGGCGACACATATGAACCTAATCTGACATGATGAAACAAAGGGGAAGCAAAACTGAAAACACTGAACGAAGGACACGAGACTATCAAAGTAAAACAGGAAACACAAGACAGGCACGGTGACGTTGGACTTGACAAGGAGATACGGCTGAAACAGAGACTATCAAACAACGACATGGAGACTCGGAGACACAGGAGATACACAAATATAGAGACCGGAAAGAACAGACAACAAAACAGAGCTGATTTGACGTGACACACAGAACAAAACCTGAGATCTAAAAATCACTAAAATATAACCAGAAACTAACTGAAACAAAGAATATTAATAATCAAAACACTGAGTCACCAGGCTCAGGACCATGACATCCAACATTCACACCACAACTCAAACTGTGTACACTACCCTAAACCCAATACAGTTAATCTGGATTGGCTCTTAAAGAGTCTATTCTCTGATCCAATGAGTATTGCCCAGTCAGCAGTGCAGAGCTAGAATGTAAGAGAGGAACAGGGGACTGAGGGGACCCTGAGGGGACTGCCGCTATTCTCCGGATGTCTACCCTGCCTATACTGATGAAAAACC